TTTCTTCCTCTTTTGCACCATCGTCACCATCACTATCATAATTTACAGCTTGCACTAGACTCTATATAAGTGAGTTAAACAGAGATGGTCCTTGGGCTAATTATTAAACATCACGGTGCTGACATGGCTAAACAAAAGGAAGACATGAAAATTTTAAGAAACTTGGAATAAGAATATAAAAATTAAATTAAACTTCTATTAATACTAGTTGTCAGTAGAGAGCTACATCCATATTGCACAGGAAAAGCCCTAGAAATCACTTGTTGAGACAATAAATTTTGTCACACTTTTAACACATTGCATGTCCAAATCTCCAACTGTGTGACTGTTTATTAATTGCAGCTTTTTTTTTTTTCCTTTTTGTCTTTTTTCGTGTCCGGCAATGGGATCGCAACCCTCGGTGTTGCTCCCACACCTCACTCAGCCAGTGAGTGGGAACCGGTCTGTATGTGGGATCTGAACCCTCGGTGGGAGCGCCACCACGCTCTCAAGCGGCGCACTGTAGCACTGCGCCACCGGGCCAGCCCAGCTGTTTTTTGTTTTAATTGAGGTGCAAGTCATGTAACATAGAAGTGACCATTTTAAAAGTGAACAATTCAGTGACATTCAGCACATTCACAGTGTTGTGCAACCACCACCTCTGTCAAGTTCCAGAACATTCTCATCCCCCCCCAAAAGGAAACCTGTCCCTGTTAGCAGTCACTCCCCCTTCCCCAGCCCCTGGCAGCCACTAATCTGCTGTCTGTCTGTCTCTGTGGATTTTCCTGTTCTGGACATTTCAGGTAATTGGAATCACACACCATGTGGCCTTTTGTGTCTGGCTTCCTACAGTCAGCATCATGTTTTTGAGGTTCATCAGAGTCATCGCACATATCAGCGCTTTATTCCTTTTCCGGGCTGACTGATATTCCGCTGTGTGGGTGGACCACATCTGGTTTCCCTGTTCCCCTGTTGGTGAACATTTGGGTTATTTTCACCTCTTGGCTATTGCGAATGCTGCTGCTATGAAAGTGAATGTACAGGTACCTGTCTGAGTCCCTCCTTTCTTTCTTTCTTTCTTTTTTTTTTTTTTTGGTGGCTGGTCTGTATGGGGATCCAAACCCTTGACCTTGGTGTTATCAGCATCGCACTCTGACCCAGGGAGCCAACTAGCCAGCCGTGGAGTCCCTACTTTCGATTCTCTTGGGTCTGTACCTAGGAGTGGGATTGTTGGGTTCTGTGATAACTATGTTGGACTTTCTGAGGAACCAGCAGACTGTTCTGGCTGTTCTGACTGCATCTGCACTCAGAGGTGACGTGGTCAAATGTCTACAGAGGCTGGATGGGTAACATAAGATGGCAATGGATTTAAACATCTGCATGGGTAGCAGCATGTCTATGGACCAGATGCGTTAAAAAAAAGGACCCAACCTCTTAGCAGTCCTGTGACGGACAGTGTCCTGTGTGTTTTGACATTCTGGTGCAGAGGGCACATCCTGACCTAACCGTTCCCTGTGGTGCGCTTTTTAATTGTTACGTCTCCTTCTGCCTGGGGAGTGGACTAGAATTTCTCTAACTGATTCACCACTGCTAGAATCTTGGGTTGTTCCAGGTTTGGTTGATAAACACCACTGCAGTGAACATCCTTGTGTGGCATTCGTGGAGGGTGTTGGTGACACATTTTTGTGGGGAACAGCAGCCCCCTCTGCCCCCCTTGGTAGCCCTGTTAGTGGTTTGGTGAATTTCTTTCTAGGCTTTTTTCTTTGCTAAAACAAATAGTTTATCTTTTTCTTTTTTTTTTTTTAGCCCAAACATCCAAGGTGTTAAAATAAAAAGCTTACATAACTATTTTTATGCACTTTTTACCGGCATCTAGCCATAGAAAAAAAGTGTTTGCCGTTAACAGGCAGCTCCATGACTTTCCTCAAAGTGACGCCTCCATGGGCTGGCTGGTTGGCTCAGTTGGGTAGAGTGTGGTATTGTAACACCACGGTCACAGGTTCAGATCCAGGTAGAAAAAAAATGCTAACTTCACTGCTGGCCAGTATGGAGATCCAAACCCACGGCCTTGGGTTACAAGGCTTTGCTCTAACTAACTGTGCTAAGCGGCCAGCCCTGTGCAGCCTCTTTCTTTGTGTGAATGTGACCTGGCTCGCTTTTCCGGGCATAGCCATTGATTGAGGAGCCATGGGGCTTCCAGGGGTCTCTGCCAACCCTCCAAGACTCTGGCCTTTGCCCCAGCTGCTCAGAGTTGTTGCCTGACCCGGGGTCCCCATGCTGATGCCATGTTGGACGTTTTGCAGTTTGTAGATGTGGACAACCTGATCCTCAACCCTGACACACTGAGCCTGCTCATCGCAGAGAACAAGACGGTGGTGGCTCCCATGCTGGATTCCCGGGCTGCCTATTCCAACTTCTGGTGTGGAATGACTTCCCAGGTAGGGCCGAGGGCTGGGGGTGGCGGGGGCTGGGTAAGTAGTTGCTGTGTCTGGAGTCTAACGTGGTGAGTGTTTTACAAATGCCTTCACCGTAGTCCGTAAGCAGAAACAGAAATGCAGAGAGGTAATGACTTGCCTAAACTCACACAGCTAATAAGTGGTGGTGCCAGGGTGGGACTTCAGGCATGGCTTGATCCAGGTGCAGAGAGGGAATGATTTGCCTAAACTCATGCAGCTAGGAGGTGCCAGGCTGGGACTTTAGGCATGGCTTGATCCAGGTGTTCAAACAACTGTCATTTTTCCATCACTTGAGTGGCTTCATTCTCAGACTGCTCAAGATTGATCCCAGCAGCACCTAGCCAACATTCACTCTGATTAGGCCATTTCCAGTCTCCTATCTACCCCTGAACCAGTCACTGAAGCCAGGAAAGTGCAGGCTCTGATTGGCCAGGCTTGGTGACAAGTCCCACCCCAGGCTTGAGTCTGAAGTCACAGGCAAAGCAGGGGGTAGTGAAAGGGTGGGGCAAGGTCCCTGGCCAGGGGAAGGGGGCTGGGTGGCTGGAGCCAGGGCACTGACCTGTCCTGTCTCCTACTTGTTTTTATGTTTTTGTTTTGTTTTATATCCGGACCCTTGACCTTTATTTTTGTTGTTGTTTTTAATTGAGGTGAAATTCATAAAATATAATATGATATTAAAGTAAATAATTCAATGGTTTTAAACATTTTTTACAATGTCATAGAAATCTAGATGTTATACACTAACAATTCCAATTTAGGGTGGGGGCGGGCAGCTGGCTGGTACAGAGGTTGAACCCTGGACCTTGGTATTATCAGCACCAATGCTCTCACCAATTGAGTTAACCAGCCACCCCAAGACCTATTTATTGAATATTATTTCTATCTTGATACTTTTATATTCTCCTAATTTTTGGGGTGTTTTCATTTTTGTTTTGTTTTTTTTGTGGCTGGACGGTAAAGGGGATCCAAACCTGTGACCTTGGTGTTATAAGGCTGCTCTCTAAACAACTGACCTAACCAGTTTTCTGTAGTTGAGCATATATTAATTCTGTAATTAGGGAAAAAACGTTTTAAAGAGAAAGAGAGCATAGCTTTATGTTGACTTGTTATTTATTTATGATGTTGTTATTTCTTCTAAACCAGAGGTGGACAAACTATGTCTGTTTTTGTACAGTCACAAGCTAAGAACAATTTTTACATTTTTAAATGGTTGGAAACAAATCAAAAGAAGACTAATATTTTGTGACAAGTGAAAATGATATCAAATGCAAATTTTAGTACCTGTAAATAACAAAATAAAGAAAGTTTCACCGGCATACAGCCAAGCCCATCCATCTGAGTGTCCTTTGCGGCTGCCTACACATTCCAAAGGCAGGACTGAGTCACTGAGACAGAAACTGTCCCACCCAGCAAGACTACAGTGTTTACCATCCGGCCCTTTACAGCAAAAGTTAACCAGTTAAAGTAAGAAGGTCATCGCCGGGTTTTTCAGTTTAAAACATGATACACACATAAAAATTTAAACCATTCGGAAAAGGATAAATGCACAGTTGGCCAGTTAACCCAGTTGGAGAGTGCCAGGCCTTGTGATACCAAGGTCAAGGGTTCAGTTCCCGGTACTGGCCAGCCACCAGAAAAAAAAAAAAAATCAAAGCAAAGGACAAATGCAGGAGGTAAGTTACTAGCATTTTGTCAGACTGTGTCCCCTTTTTGTGCATAAATTGCATCTTTACTGTTTATCTGCTGTTTGGAGTTTTGCTTTTTCCTGGAATCCTACAGGCATTGCCACACATGTGAACAGTTCCAGTTTGCTGTTGCCTTTGGGCTGGTGTTTGGGGTGTTTCTGAATTCTTACCTCTGCCTGGACCTCAGGAGCACCCAGAATATATGCTTGTGCATGTGCTCAAGGCTCTGTCCTGGCTCCGGTTCCCAGATGGAATGCCAGGGGTCCGGCTGGTTGCTGGGGTCAGCGGAGCAGCTGTTGTCTGGCCTCACGTCGGGCCTTGGTGCTGGGGCCTCCTTGCTCTGGGCAGGGCTCTGTTTTCACTGTGGATTCTTGTTTCTGCATCCAGAGGTGCAGATGTACGTGTGCAACAAAGAGGTGTATGGCTTCCTGCCGGTGCCACTGCGGGCGCACAGCTCCCTCCAGGATGAGGCGGAGAGTTTCCTGCACGTGCAGCTGGAGGTCATGGGTGAGTCTGCCGGTGCTGCCTGGGAGAGGTCAAGCGACCCCCCCCCCCTTTCTCTTCTGTCTCGTGCCCATCCCATGAACACGTGTTGAGCCCCTGCCAGATGGCAGCCTGTGTGCTGGGTGCTGAGTACAAGGATTCACAAAGTAGATGGTTGTCCCTGCTGTCATGCAGTGCTGGTTTGCAGGCAGCTGTATATGGTAGTCTCCGGATATTCGGGGTGGGCTTCCTGGAGGAGGTGGCATTCAGGAGCAGGGTGAGTAGGAGTTTGTCAGAAAGAGGATTGCAGCAGAAGGGAGGAGAGACAAAAGTCTAGAGGGAATGTGAGCCCAGAACAGGCAGGGGCCCCAGCTACAGACTCAGGGGTGGCAGCCAGGGCCAGGGCATGGTGCCTCAGACACCAGGCTGAGGAACAGGCTTTCCCGTGAGAGCAGCCAAGAGCCGTGGGGGATGTGGGAGCAGAGAGACCAGCTGGCCGGTACAGGGATGGAACCGTGGACCTTGGTGTTGTCAGCACTGGGCTCTAACCCACTGAGCAACTGGCCAGCCCTGCAGTGGGTTTTCACTGAGGAACGTCCCGTATGTGACAGTGTCTGGGGACCTTGTCTTTGCTCCTGCTAAACCCAAAACTTGCTGTTACTTATTTAATATTTAACTTAAACAGACATTTTTTTTTTACTTCAATAAGTTTATTCAAAACAGGAAAGTCTGGGCCGAGCCTGTGGCGCACTCGGGAGAGTGCAGCACTGGGAGTGCAGCAGCGCTCCCGCCGCGGGTTCGGATACTGTATAGGGATGACCGGTGCGCTCACAGTGCTCACTGGCTGCCGGTCTCAAAAAAGGACAAAAAAAAACCAAAACAAACAAACAAATAAAAAAAAACAGGAAAGTCTGCAATATTTTTACCATAGTTGCAAACTGGGATCTTTTCACATATATAAAAATAAGTCCACACATTATGAAACTAGCAGCTGTCCCTCTGGCGAGGAGCACACAGGCCTGAGCCACCTTTGAAGTTATTTGGGGAGGGCGCTCCTGCCCCCACCACTACGGTGGGGGCTTCGCCCTGTGCTGGACACACAGATCCCTGCGAAGGCCTGTAGGGTAGCAGGGTCATTCCTGCCACTACCCAGATGGGATGTGCTTGGAGAGACAAAGTATCTATCCTGGGGCTCAGTTTCCCCAACCTTACCTGCTTCTGGAATAATCCGTGTGCGGCTCCCCCTGGTGGTTAAATGTGGGACTTCACCCTGCCCTCCTCTTGGCAAGACTTTTGGGTCTTTTTGAGGTAACAGACACCTGGAGATTGTGGAGTCACTGGGGCAGGCCCCCAGGACACCCGAGCATCTGTCACACCCAGATGCCTGGTTCCTTCCCAGCTCCCTTCGCCAGAGGTGGGTCACTGCTTAACACCAAGCCCCATCAGCAACTGCGCCTGGAGAAGCGTCTCTGTGGTTGTTTTCTTACTTTAAATTTTCACATGCATTCCTGTTGTTATATCTGGTAAGGAAAATGATTCGAGTTGCTGTTAAGAACTCAAACACTACAGAGACATGAACATTTTTGTGATTGTCGAGGGCCAGAGCAAACCACACCGAGCTGACGTGTGGAAGGTCTGGAAGTTGAGTTTTAGCACACATGGCAGTGCCCGATCACGTATGTGAGCCGTGATGATGTTTTATTATATATCCTTGTCACCGGCCCCAGACCAGGCTGTGGAATATTCCCGGCCCTGGGCCCCCACTGTCCTGATTTCATCAGGTGATGGGTTTTTGTGTGTTTTGTGCTTTGTATAAGTAGGACTGTGTGGCATCTTCTGCTCAGCTGCACGTGGGTGTTGCTTGCTGGTTGCTGCTGTGGCTGTGACCTGCGCACTCTGCCTTGCTGTGTTGTATTCTGCGTAAACGCTTAACCACAGATGTATATGCTCTTGCCTAGGTCACATGTCCCGTTGGCCCAGTCACTGTCACGTCCCTCAGCCAGTCTTCTGAGGGGCATGGAGTGTGTTTCTCATTTTTCTCAGCATTACTGTGAGCTTCCCAGCACATCTGTGTGAGAAAGTTCCAGAGTGCATCCATGAGTGTGAGGTTAGGGAACTGTCCCTAAGACCACCCTCATTTCTGACACAGTTACAAGTTCAGGGGTCTCCAAGAACACTCTCAGGTTTGACAGTTCACTGGAAGGACTCACAGAATTCTCTGGGAGCTATTGTACTCATGGTTACAGTTTACTCCAGTAAAAAGATACACATTAAAGTCAGCCAAGGGAAGAGGTGGATGGGGCAGAGTCAAGGGGAATTCCATGCATGGAGCCTCCACTTGTCCCTCCCAGGGGAGTCAGGACAGAGTTGTTTTCCAGCAGTGACGTGTGACAACACATGGTGTACTGCCCACCAGGGATGCTCCCCCCAAATCGATGTGTCCAGGGTTTTTATTGTAGGTTAGTCCTGTAGACGTGATAGACCATCCACATGGTTGACCTCAGTCTCCCGCTCCCCCAGAGAATGAGTTGATACCGTGTGGCCCAAGACCTCCACCCCAAGTCACATTTTACTCTCTGGTGTGACCCAAAGCTTCCAGGTAAATCAAGGCAGTCCTATCAGACAGTTCACGCCAAGGGCTTAGAGGGGCAATCCTATCAAACAGTTCACCCCAAGGGCTTAGAGATCACCTCTCAGGAGCCGGGGGCAAAAGCGAGACTGTTCAGGCCAGTTCAGTTCCTCACCGCACAAAGTGTCGGGTCTTACATGTTGATGACTGCTGTGAGGTGGCCCTCTGGGAAGGACGTGTAGATTTGCTCCTTCTGAGTGCCTCATGTGCTCTGTTTTCCCAGAACTGACAGGAAAGGGCAAGGAGATTCCCTCCCCTCCCTGAAGCAGGTCCACACACACCCCCTGCCCCATGTGTGGGGGAGAGGGGGAGAGGTTTAGAATGAGGAAGGAAGGGGCACCTGGGATTTGAACCCAGGTCCTGAGATCCCAAAGCCCTGCCCTTGGTGCTACGACTTAATCTCACCCAAAGAGGACAGGGTGGCCAGGAGCTGAAGGGCTCTGGCAGGAGGAAACTCAAGGAAGCAGTATCCCTGGTCCTCACCCAGGCCTCTCCCCAACACAGGGGCCTGTGTCTGTCCCTCAAGCTCTCACAGGGCCTTTGCTGCTGGCTAAGTGGACACCACAATCACCCTGGCTCTGGGCTCTTCTGGGCCAGCCTGGGGGCAGGCAGGAGCCCGTGGATCAGATCCTTCCTCGGGAAGCCGTCAGGGATGCGCACAGGGCCGGGGGACGTGGTTGGAGCTGTGCTGACAACAGCTAAGAGAGTGACAATCATGACTAGTCTGCAAAGTATATTTGATGTGTGTATGAGTTTCCTATGGCTGCTGTAACAAATGACCCCAAACCAGGTAGCTTAAAACAACCAAAATTTACTCTCTCCTGGTTCTGGAGGTCAGACATCTGAAACCAAGGGGTTGGCAGGGCCATACCTGGTACTCTCTTCCTTGCCTCTTCCAGCTTCTGGAGTTTTCTGGCAATTTCTGGCCTATCCTTGGCTAGCAGACACATGTCTCCTGTCCTGTGGCTGTCTTTTGCCTGTGTGTCTGTCTCTGTGTCCAAGTTTCCCCTTTCTATAAGGACACCAGCCTTATGATTAGGGCCCACACTAATCTCATCTAACTCAGTGACCTCTGTAAAAGATCGTATTTCTAAACAGGATTGTGCTCTTAAGGAACTAGGGGTTGGGCCTGGGGGACACAGTTCAACCCATAGCAGCATGCACGACTTCTCAGCATCTCTTTATGAAACCTCTGAGAGCTCTATTAGCCCATGTTATAGATAAGGAAAGTTGAGCCCAGACACCTCAAGGTGATGCCTCCTGCCATCATTTCTTTCTTTTCTTTTTTTTTTTTTTTCCTTTTTGTCTTTTTTCGTGACTGGTAACGGGATCGCAACCCTCAGTGTTGCGCCCGTACCGCGACTGGCAATGGGATCGCAACCCTCGGTGTCGCGCCCGCACCGCGCTCAGTTGAGCGGACCGGTCTCTATATGGGATCCGAACCCTCGGCGCCCGCCGCCACACTCCCAAGCGCCACACTCCACCGAGTGCGCCACCGGGCCAGCCCCTGCCATCATTTCTTTGGCCATTCTGTGAGATTGAGCACCTGCTGTGTGCCAAGCCCTGTGTTGGGCACTGGGTACCCAATGCAAGTGGACAGACCTGGTGTCTGTCCCAAGGGGCTTATAGGGGACAGGCACACACGGGGCCAGGGAGATAGGATAGCAGGGTGGGGACTTTGATGGTGGAAGCCCAGGTGCTGTGGGGACCAAGAGGAGGTGCCTGACTGAGCCCGAGACAGTGGGGACACTCCCCCTGCCCTGGGCATCATAGCTGAGAACTGAGGGTAAGGAGCCGGGAGGAAAGGGTGTGCCAGGCAGGGACCCAGCACGTGCAATGGGCCTGAGGTAGCAATGAGTGACTTTGGGGAGGTGCCAACAGCTAGGGTGGTGGAGTCTTAGTGGATGGGGAGACTAGCGACATGTTGTGGGTGGAGTGGCAGAGGAGGTGGGAAGGTATGTTGGAAAGAGGCTGGAGGCCCCCATGACCCCAGCCGTTTCTCTGCCCCACAGTGAAGCACCCGCCGTTGGAGCCCTCCCGGTTCATCTCGGGGCCCACCAAGATGCCTGACAAGATGGGCTTCGACGAGGTGGGCTGGGCCTTCCTGGGGGTGGGGCGGGAGGACGGTGTGTGTGGGGGGGACCGAGGCTCAGGGTGTGACCGAGGCTGGGCTGCAGGTCTTCCTGATCAACCTGAAGCGGCGGCAGGACCGGCGGGAGCGCATGCTGCGGGCGCTATGGGAGCAGGAGATCGCGTGCCGGCTGCTAGAGGCCGTGGACGGCAAGTGAGTCCCACCCCAGGGGAGGAGAGTGTCTGCACAGAGGTGTAGACCAGGCTGGTAGTTGCCATGGAGGGGAAGACTGTCTCACCCCAGGAGACAGGGTGGGCAAGTCTGCCCACGAGTGTAGACCCCATGTTGGCCATGTGCGTCCAGGAGGGATGCTGGGGGGCTACTGCTCTGTGGGGTAAGTGCCCACGTAGCTGGCAGGCAGGCAGGGTGAGTTCCTTGTGACCCCCCCCACCCCCTCCTTTCCAGAGCCATGAACACCAGCCAGGTGGAGGCGCTGGGCATCCAGATGCTGCCCGGCTACCGGGACCCCTACCACGGACGGCCCCTCACCAAAGGCGAGCTGGGCTGCTTCCTCAGCCACTATAACATCTGGAAAGAGGTGGGTGCCCGAGTGCTGCGTGGTCAAAGCCCAGTTCTCCTTACATAAGGGTTTTGGAAAGGGCTCGAGGTTTGTGGATGGAATCGCCCACCCACCAGGAAGACTTCCAGCAACAGCGATGGAACAGGTGGCTTCTCTTTAGTGAATGCCTGAACTGGCTGGATTGGTCCCAGCACCTCCTAGTGGGGCAGCTGTTATTCCATTGTGGGGATGTAGAAACAGGCTGGGGTGGGGGTGAGCCCTGCCTGCAGCAGGTGGTGCATGGGGCCTGGGACTCCTGAGCAAAGCCTCTTCACCCCAGCCTAGACTCTGTGCACAATATTTACTAAGTGCCCATGGCAACATTGACCAGTACAGGGTAGCCACCCTTGGAGGAAGAGGCTGTGATGAGTGAGGACATCAGACTAGGATTCACACTCGGGACGGTCAGGCATGAGGCCAGATGGGGGGACGTGCAGGGGGGGAGGGGGTGTCTGGGCATTTGAGATGATAGATGCTTACCTGGGCCTCCCTCCCTTCCTGAGATTCATCATACATGGCACAAGGCAGATTGTGATGTCCAGGTGACCCTAGACCCAGGGGGGACCCTGGTTCAAGTTCAGCCCTGCCTCTTAGTGGATTGAGCTCTGTCAACAAGAAAGATGTTTCCTGGTCTGAGCCTCAGTTTCCCCAGATGACAGAGTCATGACCTCAGTTATGAAGATTCTCGAGTTCATTCACTCAGCCTTACTGGGGACATGGCAGCCACCAAAACAGACCCAGCTCCCCTCAAGGGGCTCCCAGCCTGGGGAGGCAGGGAGGCTGATGACAAACCACAAAGAAAGAAAGGACAGTGGAGAGACAAGTGAGACACATATCCACAGGAGGGGCCAGGGCTGTACGTTGTCCTCAGCTGGTGGCACTGGATAGTCAAGGAGGGTCTCCTAGATGGGTGACATTTGAGCTGAGGCCTGAAGGATGAGAGGGTGTTCAGTGTCAAATACATAGCACAGGTAAAGGTCCTGAGGTGGGAGGGACCTAGGCAGGTGGGAGGAGCAGGGAGGTGGTGCCCAGGAAGTTGATCTGGACTCCGGGGAGGGGAGTGCATTCACTTCTGTCTGGGTGTGCCAGAGCCTCCAAGGTGAGGCTCTGGCTTTGGGGACAGGGATACAGGCCTTGGTCTCCCTGTGACCTGGCTGGGTATCCTCCTCAGGTCGTGGACCGGGGGCTTCAGAAATCGCTGGTGTTCGAAGACGACCTGCGTTTTGAGATCTTCTTCAAGAGGCGCCTGATGAACCTCATGCGGGATGTGGAGCAGGAGGGCCTGGACTGGGACCTCATGTGAGTGGTGGCCGGGGGGGTGGGGCGGAGCTGGGGCCTGGGGCATGGTCTGGGATAGCTGCATGCGGAACTGGAGCACAGGGGCATGGCCGGAGCTCTGCACAGAGCCTAGAGCCTGCAGGTCCAGGGGTGTGGTCATAGGCCTGGCCTGGGGCATACATGGCCAACTCTTGAGAGCATGACAGAAGGGTTCACTTGGTCCCTGGGCCGGAGAGCACAGTCAGGAGGGTAGCCTATGGGATAGGGCCTTGGGAGGATGACCCAGAAATCTAGGGACCTGGCCAGAAGCCTGCAGGCTTGGTCAGGGCTTGCAGACTTCACTGGGGTCTGTGGAGGTGAGGTGTGGCCTGCTTGGGTGTGGCCAAGGATTGGGGCATGGAGCTGAGGGTGTGGCTGGAGGTTGAGGGCGTGGCTAGAGCTGAGTTTGTGGCTGAAAGATGAGGGCGTGGCCAAGGAGCCTGGGTCTTACACCAGCCCTCAGGTGGGAGTTTGACCAGCATATTTCCAGGACTGGAGTGGTCCTTTGGAGTCTCCTATAGGTAGGCTGCTTTGTCCTCCTTTTATCCCCCCTTTCTCCCTCCTTCCCTTCCTCCTCTCTCTCTTTCCCTCCTATGTGCTAGACCTTAATCCAAGTTCTGGGGACACTGCTCAATACTCCAAGCCATGCTCTCAATATGAGTAGTAACTGCACCCCTTCATTCTTGGCTGCTCACCGTGTTGAGGCGCCTCACCCAACTGCATGCTCCACAGTCCTCTGAACCCAGAGCAGCTGCAGCCTCAGAGTGGTCCACATCCTCCCATGGCTCCCTAGTGCCCTTGGAAAAAACTCACTGTCCTCCCTGTGACCCACGCAGACCCTGCGGTTCCTCCTTTACCCTGACCAGCCACAGTGGCCTCCTTGTTGCTCTCCAGACACGCTGAACCTGCTCTCATCCCAGGGCTTGACGGGGGTAACTAGATCCCTGACTTTCTGGGTTAACATTCTCTGGAGGATGGGAGGAGTGTGACAGGGCCCTGATTCTGCACCCCAGCTACGTGGGCCGAAAACGGATGCAGGTGGAGCACCCCGAGAAGGCCGTGCCCCGTGTGAGGAACCTGGTGGAGGCTGATTACTCCTACTGGACACTGGCCTATGTGATCTCCCTGCAAGGTGCCCGCAAGCTGCTGGCTGCCAGGCCACTCTCCAAGATGCTTCCTGTTGACGAGTTCCTGCCTGTCATGTTTGACAAGCACCCAGTGTGAGAGGGGCTGTGGTGGGTAGGCTGGGGGCTGGGGTCTCACTGTGTGTCTTTTCTGGGTGGGTGGGGGCATAAGACTCGGGGGCTCCTGGGAGGTGTCTTTTCCTCTCCTGACTTCTCCCTCCATTTGTCCCTCTCTTCCTCTACCTGTCCCCTCCCCTGGACTCACTTCCCTCCTCCCATCCAGGTCCGAGTATAAGGCCCACTTCTCCCCCCGTAACCTGCGTGCCTTCTCCGTGGAACCCCTTCTTATCTACCCCACGCACTACACAGGGGATGATGGGTACGTGAGTGACACGGAGACCTCAGTTGTATGGAATAACGAGAACGTCAAGACTGACTGGGACCGTGCCAAGTCCCAGAAGATGCGGGAGCAGCAGGCACTGAGTCGTGAGGCCAAGAACTCAGATGTGCTCCAGTCCCCGCTGGACAGTGCTGCCCGTGACGAGCTCTGAGGGGCAGCAGCCAAAATGCCAAAGCAGCCATTGCTGGCCCAACCTTCACGTGCTCACTGGGGACAGCAGATCCACCTGTGGATCCTGGGGCAGGCCGTGGATGACTCTCCATGCAGGGTGGTGTCCAGCCAGCTCTTGCTCAGCAATCACATGCACACAGGCAGCATTAATGAAGTGCCTACTGTATGCCAGGAACAGGGCTTGGCGCTGGAGGATTGGGCAAGAACAAGCCCTCTTCATTCATCTGTTCATGTGCCCAACACTTATTAAGCACCTGCTGTGTACCAGGTCCCTGTGTTATGGCAGCGAACAAGGCATGATGGTTCACTTCATCAGTGATTGATTCAGTCATCAAGCATGTATTGATCAGATTAAGAACCAGGCGCTATGATACACATTAATTTTTAAAATTCATTCAGGTATTTATTGAGTACCTACTATGTGTTGGGCACCATTCTAGGTTCTGGGGATATTGAGGTAAGACACTTTGATTAATTTATTCGAACATGTATCAAGCATCTACTATGTGCATGGTACTTGTGACACAAAGATAAGTTCTTGATTGGTGCATTTATATAGTGCCTGTTGTGTGCCAGGAGCTGAGCTAGGTGCTGGGGATGGAGGTAAACAGGTGCTTTTCACTTCTCACTTGGTTTCTTACACATCTCTAGAGTACCTGCTGTGCTCCAGGCACCAGTGATACAAAAGTGTGACATTTGCTCCGTCGGTGTTTTTCATCACCCACTGTGTGCTCGGCCGCATGCCAAGTGCTGGGACACAGAGACGTACGAGTCCCTTCATTTCTTCAGGCAGCAAGCATTAATTGAGCACCTACTGTGTGCCAGGCCTCACAGACTCCCAGTTGGATTGAATGGTTGTCCAAGTTTGCTTCTTCCTCATCTCTCCTCACCTGAGCTGTGTGCAGACAACCCCCACTGCCCAAGAGTGTCCCTCTGGTAGCTCTATCTCCATCAGGCAACCACGGTCCCAGTGGTCACCTGGCCACATGTTAGCCCCCCTGGAGGGGGCACAAGATGGAGATGGGGGCTGGGTCTCCCTTGCCCTCCCCCGTTCCTTTTGTGTGACCTCCCTGCCCTTGCGTCTCAGGTGTGGTCTCTGCCTGCTGGATGAGGTTGCTCTGTTCAAGTCTTCGGTGGGATCATGTGTTTGGGGGCTGGAGGGGCTGCTGTGCCTTCAGACTGAATCGAATGTCAGATGCAGCCAGTGGTCTTCATCCTCTGGGGGCTAACTCTGCTCTCTGAGTTGGGTCCTGAATAACTTGCTTATTTTTTTATTAAATGTTCCTGGTTGGTTTTCACTGAAGTCTGTGGTCTTGCTTGCTGTCAAAACACCACCTCCCACAATCCTCTCCCCTGGCTGCTGGTCTGGATTTGGCAGGAAATCAGGGCAGGTGCTGTGGAGAAGCCAGTCAGTGGAGCGAGGGTGGATGAGGGTGTGCTGAGAGCCCCGTGTCCCAGCCTGCCCCATAAAACTTCCCTGAAATAGCCCGCAGACAGCAGACCTCGCTCTACTTCGTGGGGTCAGCTTCGAGATTGTCTCAGATGACTTCGAATGAGGAAGTGGGCTGTCTTGGTTAGGGTCCCCAGAAAACAAGATAAGTATTTGAGGGCACTTGAGTTATCGAGTGAACCCAGGAACCCTCCTTGGAGGTTGGGGAAGTGAGACAGAGGGAAAGAGTCCTGCAGGGGGCGCCAGCGAGCAGACAGCTCCGTGGGCGTCTGGAGCTCAGCTCCGCCTGGGGCGGAGGGCGGCTTTCGTCCACCTCAACCACATTTGGAGTTTCTGGGTCAAATGTTTATGGGGTCTCATGATTATTCAACCCTTAGGGTGCATAGGAATATGCACAACGGTTTTATAAACTAGCACAGAGGGCATGTGATCAGGGCAGAAAAAGAATGTACAGCTAACCAAACTGACAAAGCAAAATTAAATCACTCGGACTGACCCCGTGGCGCACTCGGGAGAGTGCGGAGCTGGGAGCGCAGCGACGCTTCCGCTGCGGGTTCAGATCCTATGTAGGACTGGCCGGTGAGCTCAATGGCTGAGCGCGGTGCGGGCGACACCAAGCCAAGGGTTGCGATCCCCTTACCGGTTACAAAAAGAACAACAACAACAAAAAAAATCACTCTTCGTCAGACAACTATCATTTTGCTGAAAAACTGCACCCGTACCCATTTTCATGACGCAAATACTTACACTTTTTTGGGGTGGGGTGGGGAGGCTAGCCAGTATGGGGATCCGAGCCACTGACCTGGGTGTTATCAGCACCACACTCTCCCAAGGGAACTAACCAGCCAGCCCCCATGCACATTTTTAAAAAGAGGATCATGTTACATAAACTCTGTGCTTTTTTTTTTCTTTTTTTTTTTCTAATGCAACACTTTTATTTATTTTTATTTATTTATTTATTTATTTTTTGTCTTTTGTCTTTTTCCGTGTCCGGCAACGGATCGCAACCCTCAGTGTCACGCCCATACCGGTGCAACCCTCAGTGTCGCGCCCATACCGGTGCAACCCTCAGTGTCGCGCCCATACCGGACCAGGACCGGCCACGGGGTCGCAACCCTCGGCGTTGCTCC